TCTACAATATCAGCTAGTAGAATGAATCCATTAGTTTCAAGCAAGGTAAAATGTATTAATGTATACTTTGACAAATACAAAATGGCGGATTTCACTTATTACCAAACATCATCATTTTTATCGGCCGAATTTCCTTATATAATCCCAAGCGGTAATCGGAATTCCAAGTGTCGTCTGCTAGAATATATTCCAACGAATGAAGTCACGTGATCAACTAGCGGATTCCGTGTCAGCAGAAAATTTCTATGGAACACAAAGTGGAACATATTCTTATGTTGTTTCAGTGACTTTAGCAATAAATCACGCTACGTATCATATTTTGTCAGTCACTATTTTTTTTTTAAATCGTGGTTCTTTGAAGGAATTGTCACTAGTTATAATTAATTGATATTAAAGATAAATACTAAGAGAAGTTAATTATACCGCCCGGTATCCATACAACGTGTTTTTCTTGACTTATTTATAGATCAAACATTGTACACGAAAATAGGTGACTCATTCTGCCGCCGTTGCCGAGTTGGTTGCTCATGAAATATGGGTCAGTGAAGGTTTCATAAAGAAAATCGAAATAAACCAATTTCTATTATTTTGTAGAATATCTGAGGAAACATCTAAGACATAAAAAAAATTTTTCGTTTTTTTAACTTTGACGAAATTCGGTGTTGAATCCTTATATCCACGAAAAAAGGTTACACCACTGTAATAGTTTTCACAGCTCACTTCAAAATTTGAGCTTTCAAAGTAGGGCTGGGTGATATATCGGTACAGGAATTTAAATTGTAAGTAATGGTACCATACAGGAATTTAAATCATTAGTGATATCACCTGGTTAAAAACTCACCATATCGTGAGCTTATAAATGGTATTAATGGTCAAATTTGATCAACTACGTAATTCTAACAATGTTTTATTGTTTGAACCGGTATTTTTTTTCAAGATATTCAAGACTGGGGTAATTAGAAGGAATTCATTGTCTTTTCTTACATTTAAAGTAGATAGAAAAACAACAACATTTCGTATCAAAAACCAGGAGAAATATTGCAATATCGTCGGTGGGATATCAAAAGGTCGTATATCCGAATTTTCAAATTTTTCAGGAAATGCAAAAAACTCCCCAAAGACTCAAAATTAATTGAATTTTTACCAAAATTGTACCGAGTGCTCATCTTTTCAAACTTGACTTAAT